AACAACTGACCCTGCTGCTCTAGAGCCCGCCGCGGAGGTGGCGAGCCTCTTAGCACCGCTACGTTGCCGGGCGGTAACTGAGAGTGGCGTTCGCGGGAGACCGCTGTGCCCTGTAACTCCGGCAGCGTTAGCAGACCGATCTCCTGAGGGCACTGAGGCGAGACGGACACCGTGTAATGCGGTGTAACCCGCTCCACCCCAGAGGGGACTGCCACTCGGCCAGTGGCGTCAGGACTTTTTGGCAGAGGACCTCTTAGTCTTAAGTACAGTCCGCAGATCCAGCTTAGACTTTGAGGCCCCCGACCTAGAGCGTCGCCTCGACCCACTGTCTCGACACAGGGGAGTACGTGAGGCCACGCTCTGTTTTTGTGCACTGCTGACCGCTTCAAACTCCTCAGAGGAAGAGAGGTAAACACGTGCTCTATTTATTTATTAAATACGGTCTGGTGAGTAAGATTCACATTGAAATCGAATGATGTAATATTCACGTTGCCTCGGCAGCACGCGAGCCACTCAGTCACACCAACAACATCAATCTCCTCAGAAAAAGATGGCCGCATCAGCAAGCTCTCACTCAGAGGGGGAAGAACCGCATGTTCCGAGAGCTGACTCTGCGTGCTTGCGCTCAAGCAGAAAACAAACAAACTGTGTGTATCCCCACCCGTAAAGTAACGCGGGCAGGGAAGAACACACAGCCTGAACGCTGCCTGCCCTCACCTTAGTGTCTGGTTTTGTCTTGAGATTTCGTTTTGACAGACTAAAATAAGACTCACAAACAGATATCAGACTGACACACACACAGAGCACTTGCGGAATGACAAAAAGCTGACGCTGGTCTCACCGCACGTGCTTTTATAGCTTCCTGGTCATTACGTCACCCGCCCGTGACGTCTCGCCCATCTATTGGTCTGATTACACATGAGGTTCAGAGCCCGTCACGCTGAAGAGTGTTCCCCTAGCGTTTCCGACGCAGCTCGAGTTCCTGAAGAGGAACTCTTGCAAGATGCCTGGGTGTTCTGGGTGGTTGCCAGGGCATTGTTGTGCGGTTGCTAGGGTGTTCAGGGTGGTTGCTAGTGTTCTGAGTGGTATCTATGTAGTTGCTTGCTTACACAAATCAAAAGAGGCCAACCATGAAATATCTATGCCTGGGTGTTCTGGGCGGCTGCCAGGGCATTGCTATGCAGTTGCTAAGGTGTTCTTAATCATTGCTAGGGTATTCTGGGTGGCTTTTATATGGTTGCTGGCTTACACAAGTCAAAGGAGGCCAACCACAAAATCCCTATGCCTGGATGTTCTGGGTGGTTGCCAGAGTATTGCTATGCAGTTGTTAGGGTGTTCTGGGTGGTTGCTAGGGCATTGTTATGCGGTTGCTAGGGTGTTCTGAGTAGTTGCTAGGGTATTCTGGGTGGTTTTTATATGGTTGCTGGCTTACACAAATCAAAAGAGGCCAACCATGAAATATCAATGCCTGGGTGTTCTACGTGGTTCCCAGGATGTTGCTATGTGGTTGTTAGGGTGTTCCAGGTGTTTGCTAGGGTGTTCTGGGTGGTTTCTGTGTGTTTGCCTGTTTACACAAATCAAAAGAGGCCAACCACGAAATCTCTAGGATAATCTTGGTATGTTTGGCTTGTCTTAAGCCAGGCACACACAACAGGAGTTTTAGGCCGATTTAGCCCCGATTTTCCCCTCCCGAGGATCGGAGAAAAAATCTTTTTGAGGACCTCGATTAGTTCTGATGTTCGGCGCGGTTTATCTGATAATGTGAGGCATTTACAGATCGAATCTTGCACCTCCCAATCTGCTCGCACACAAATTGGGGTAATCCCCATTAATATCAAACATGTTTGATATTTAGGATTTTAAATCAGGATGATGACGGCTTTGATTACATCAGTACTTTCACAATAGTCAATACGCAAAACAAGCTGCTTTAAAGGTCTGTTGGATAGTGGAGATGGATAATGCATAATGTGTTAAAAACTTACCACAACCGTAAGGACAAAGAGTGTAGAAAATTGCTAGCATGCTAGCTAACATATGTAAACATTGCTGAAACGTCAATGACAATCTGCTGCGTGAGATCACGTGAGGCACTCCCTCTGGCAAGATAAGATTGGGGTATTGCTATGCAGTTGTTAGGGTGTCCTGAGTGCTTTCTATGTGATTGCTTGCTTACACAAGCCAATAGAGGCCAACCACAAAATCACTATCGGTAATTTTCCAAAATCGGGTACTGTCTGTGTATGTACTACATATGAATTAGAACCTACTTTGCGACCGTTAAAAAAGTATGCTCTATAATGGGTAGAATGAATGAAACTCAGACGTACTGCATCCGCCATATTGCTACTGTCATGTGACCTACCAGCATCAGTTGTGCCACTTCACTGACACTCATCAATCCTCTCCCGTGGCCTCATGGGATAGTTAAGCATCCATCGAATGCGCACTTCAGAATCCCACCGGAAGTAGTAGGTCATCCGGGTACTGTTTTTCGAATACTATGAATTCAGACTACTACTACTCCGTTTGCGTACTCTTTTTCACATACTATATAGTAGGAAAGTATTTGATTTTGGATGCCGCGTATGTTTGGGTGTTCCGGGTGGTTGCTAAGGCATTGCTAAGTGTTTGCTCTAAGTGGTTTTTATGTGGTTGCTGGCTTACACAAGTCAAAAGAGGCCAACCACAATATCCCTATGCCTGGGTTTTCAGCGTGGTTGCCAGGGCATTGTTATGCGGTTGTTAGGGTCACAAGTCAAAAGTGGTCAACCATAAAATCTCTATTATAGTTGTGCTATGTTTTGCTTGTCTTAGCAAACACCACTAATAAATGTCTATGTAATTGGCTCACAACACATAACAATTCCTTTGTCTTACAGCCATTAAATTGATTCAGTAATGCTTCAGTGAACTTGAAATCAGCAAAAAATGAGCTCCCTCACCCTCTCTGCAGTCTTCTCCATGGAATCCTGGACAGCATCGCCATTCCAGAGAAGTGATTTTCCTGTAGGTCACTCTGTACATGGGTCTCACCAGAGTTCTGTAGCTGGGAAAATACAGAGAGGCAAAGCACGCACAGAGTCTTTTACTTGTCGTCCAAGTTAACGTGAGAGTGAATAGCAGAGTATAACCCAGTGTATACCATGAGATCATTTATTTTCTCTGTACCTGATGAGGTTTGGACATGGTCCAGGCCATCGGCAACTCTGAAACAGCCGCTGCACAACAGTCTCTGTCCCATTTTGCGTCTGGCATGAAACGGTCTTCTGTACTGTGTACTGGCACCAGTTCCTTATTCGTTCCATGTTGAATAAACAACGATAACGACAAAGACCAGACAAATCAGAATACTGCTAAATCAAGAATTAAACAGAAAAAAAAATCCATGGAGAAATGAATGAGCAAATTTTTTTGCATATCAGAAAATAAGGAAATTAAATCATGGAAAATAAGAGATTTAGGTAGGGAGCTTGAAATTTCCTTTTCACAAAACTCAGATTGATGGCACTGCAAAGCAAACAGTTATGTGGCTTCAATAGTTTTAGTGCCATTATGTTTCTTCATGAATCTCCTTCACTTCAAAAGCAAGATAAAATGCAGTACAGTGGACTGAGGGTCCTCTGAGAGACCCTCTCAGAGGCACAAGCATATCTTTTTTCCTTTACCACGGGAGACTGAATGATTTATTCTCTCCCGACATTCGTATAACACCCAAAAGAGTCTGACAGACATTCTTGAAGAGAACTAAAACAAAAAAAACAATGTGTGCCTGCATCTGCATGCTTTGTTTCTAAACTCAATCTGGGAAACTTCCCTTCTGAACATCCCAGGATTGTGACCCGGCACTGTTTGTTTCATTATTCAAGTCACTGATCATAATTTTTTCACAGGACAGACTGTGATGAATTGTGACCGGACCACAGACATACAAGAAGCTCCACACGTCTAGACTAAAGAGCTCAACCGCATGTAAAACCATAAAATATTTTGCCCACTGTCTTTTAGGGAAAAGAATGCTTCATTTTTAACATAAATAATTTTGGCTTTGTTTCAGTTTATGCTTTTTCTGGGAACTTAATTAGGGGGCCCACAGGGGCCTTCACAGATCCGTTTAGGACAGACAGACAGACAGACAAATAGACAGACAGACTGACAGACAGATAGATAGACTAGATAGATAGATAGATAGATAGATAGATAGATAGATAGATAGATAGATAGATAGATAGATAGATAGATAGATAGATAGATAGAACAGAAACAGCTGTGAATAAAATATCTAGAAATAAAAATTGTGTTGGGTTAAGATAATAATAGAATTGTTTTAACTATTCAAAGTTTATCGAGTTCATTTACCTTAATCCATAATTCTGCAGTATAATAGCCTAAGGCTTTAAATCAATCAGTTCGATAACCTAATGTTTATTCCAGCCGGTGACAGGTTTACCTGTTGAGTGTGTTTGCTCCAGTGTTGTGTTCCGACACTGTGCGCTGCAGTCTCACTGGAACCTGATAAATAGCTGCGGAAGCTTTAAAAGCTCGAAAGGAAAACATGAAAATACAAAGAAGTTTCCAAAATCCCTCACGCATGGTCCGACGTCTAACAGCTCTTCCCTTATTCCCTGTGCTTTATCTGATGTTATCCTGCTCAGACGAGTTGTGTTAAACGCCTGAGTGAGCTATTGAGAGACTTGAATGACGGGTGAGGAGAGACAGTCACTGACTAGAGTAAAATACAATCCCCTCTTCTGGAGTAAAATACTGGCTGTGTCTCATAACCTATCTGACTGACTATCTAGTACCTACTACATCATAGTCAGCATTGCCAAAAATGCTGCAGGCGTGTTTGACATCCAAAACGCGGTCTAGGTAGTATTAAGGTACTGTATAATCTATATGCCAAAACAAGTACAAGTACAGTAATATGTATTAAGTAAATATCTCAGATGTTCCAAACGTAGCCTACAATACGTAACATATTAATAACAATATATATATTTTATGAAAAATGGGGCTTCAGCACCACATGCAGGTCAAACGTTTGGTAAAACGACAAGTTTTGTATTGAATCCCCATACAAAACTTAAAATATATATTTTTAATATACGCTACAAATCAAAAGTTTGGGGTTGGTAAGATTTTTCCATGTTTTTGAATACAGTACACATAATAATAGTTTGAAATAGTATTATAATTTAAAACAACTGTATTCTATTTAAAAATATTTGAAAAAGCAATTTGATGTGATGTAAAGCTGAATGTTCTGCTGACATTATTGCAGTCTTCAGTGTCACGTGATCCGTCAGAAATCATTCTAATATGCTGCTTTGTTGCTCAAGATACATTTCTTATTATATCAAGGTTGTGCTGCTTAATATTTTTGAAGAAACCATTTTTCACCACGATTCTTTGATTAATAGAAAGTTCAAAAGAACAGCATTTATTTGAAATAGAAATCTTTTGTAACATTGTAAATGTCTTTACTGTCTCTTTCCACCGATTTTTAATGCACCCTTGCTGGATAAAATTATTAATTTATTTAGCCAAAAAAAAAAAAAACCTAACCCCAACCTTTTGAACTGTAGTGTACATTGCTATCATTTTTAAAGAATAAAGACAAAAATAAATCTTGAATATGAATCTTGAAAGGTCTAAAATGTTTCATATTTGCATCAAATAACAATATGACTGCTTCATTGAACTCATAGTGCCCACTAGACCAGTGTGCAAAAAAATAAAAGGTGGCATAAGTGACAGGCGTTTCTATGGGTGTGCTACAGAGACAAAAAACAAAACGAGAGCTGATAAGACAGTTGGAGGCACTACAGACCCTGAGAGCAGAATCTACAAACAGAAAATCGAGATATTATTCACATCTTTTGAAACATGACTTAAAGACTTCATTTCAATCTGCATGTAAACTTACAGAATTTGATTAAAGACATTCTGCATGTTGAGTCATTGTTTTTATTAAAAGGGAATGGTGTGGTCTAATGAGATTACTTGTGCATAAAGCATGATGTATTAAATTGCATTTCAAGTACCCTTGTCATTTACTTTCTTTTTGTCGTGGTTTTGGAGGACATTTTCTTCAACAATGGCTAAGTCTTCAGTCAACATGAAATTAAATTATGGCTTTCTTTTTTTAACAAGCATCACATTCAACTGAAGATAAAATAAAACTATTAGCATTATAATAACTGTAACAGCAATTTCAACAAAAGGGCTTTATAGTGATAGTACATTCATTCATTCTCCCTGTAAACAGGAATGTCTAGTTAATAGTCTGGCCTTTTTTTTTGGTTTTGGCCTATAAACGTTGAATCAATGCTTCATTCATGTTATGTCAGAATTAGTGTAAGAGATAACAATTCAGAGATTCTACTATGAGATCTTCACAAATGAACGATAATCCTGACATGACCTGAATGGAAGCATATTCTAGAAGATACAAAGGGAAAGCAAAGATTTGTACATCTAAAATGTTGCAAAGCGATCCCATGCGATAATAAATATAGTGCTTTTTCGATGTCTGGTCCATATTGTGTCTTTTGCAGCAGTTCTAGGAAGGCCAGTGATCAGTCTGGCTGATTATCAATGCCCAGTGTACAGTGTGTGTGATTGTGTGTGTGTGTGTGTATGTTAGCTAAGAGGGGCCGCCTGAATGACCGAGACCTGCTCGGTACAGATTCTTTTCAGTGGTGGGGCTCCACAGCTGTCCTCAGCCTCCTGTACCCAGAGAAAAAGGAGCAATTAATTATTAATTAGTTATTAATTTCAGTAGTACAAAAGGCTTAATATATACAATCTAAAAAATATATAATACAAAATAAATCTAGTAGAATAAATGACAAATATTGTTTAATTTTTTTTTAAACATTCATTATATATAAATTAAATATTATATATAGATATTTATGTAATTTTTTTATTTTCTCATATACAGTATACCCAAAATATATATATATAAATTTGAAGGCAAGCAAGGTTCACAACCCAAGGCAGAGGGGCTGTCGCAGCATTCATGCTTTATGCAGAACCTCTGACTGCTTTTGTACTGTTTTGTACCTGAGCAGTGAGGGGTAAAAGATCTTCCTTGATCAGTGTTGGCGGCTCATCTGCAATCTCACTTGACTGCAGCAGTGGCTCTAGAAAAAAAAAGTTATAATTTTTAAAAGTGGGTCAACGGACTAAATTATCTCAGTAAACTCCTGTGAAATGTGTAGTTTTGGAGATAAAAACATAATTCATTTGTTCAGATCAAAATCACAATGACACAAAGAGGGCAAACAACTTACTGTGAAATCTCAGGTTAATATGACTAAATATTTAAGCAAGATTTATAAAATTACAAGCTTTATAAAACACTGGATATACCTTTGGAAATGTATAATATAATGTAATGTAATATAATATAATACATTAATTAATTAATTAATTAATCTCTCAGCTCTGAGATTAACATAAAACTCAATGAAAAATGCAAAGTATGAGTCTCACCTTCCATGATTTCTTGGCCGAGAGTGGGCGGCTGTGGATCATCTGTACAGTAGTCTAGACTCTGAAGTGCAGGGCTGACCGGCTCACTGGGCTGTGGACTGGAGTTATTGCTGCTGTCTGCAGCTACTTTAAGCTGGTACGAGTCTGACAGAGAACTCTGGTTGCTGTTCTCATCTGAGAAGCCAGGAGAGAAAGAAAGAAAGCAATACGGGTTTGGAACTACAAGAAGCTGATTATGGTAAAATGTTAATTTTTGGGTAAACTATGCCTTTGAAACTTGAATCTCACATGCAAATGTTTACCTTGAAAATCTAACAGTACAGAACAGGCGTTATCAGATGCCTCCTCAGTGGAAAAATTCTTCCGTTGCATCTCACCACCCACAGACACTTTGCTCTTGTCCTTCTAAAAGATATCAGGTTACAGGTGCAGTAAATACAGTGAAGGAGTTTGGAAAATCCATTACGTTACAGATAATATGTTGATCTTATGTATAAAACGAACTCTCAAACAATTAAAACCAAGAGAAATGAACATGTTAGATGTGTCGTACCTCCTTTGTGTCCACCACAGGAACCCATTTAAATATTCTTAATGATGTATCTCCAACTGTGACCCATTTCTTCTCCCTGAAATAGAGCAATTGTGTAACAGCTTTCCCATATACATGACTTGAAAGCTCTATCAAGTTTCCATGTTAAAAACGCAACCATGCAGAAAAAAAGCACTTATCAAGTTTCCAGATGGAGAAAGTTTAAAGGCTCCTCTAAGAACTGCTTTTTCGGGACATGTGGGATTACAAAGTCCATTTGTTGATGTGTTGAACCCTATCCAATATCCCAATTTATTTCAATCACAAAAGTGCTTGGTTTTTGCTGGCCTAAACCCTGATTGAATGTGCTTGGATTACTCTCTTGCACAGTAAATGTATAATAGACTTTATAAACTAGTAAAAAAAAGAAAAGAAAAATTATAGAATTTATATAAGGTTACTGACAGTCCTACACATTACGCCTCTTCAAAACATGAAGAAACCTTTTAAAAGTCCTCTCTAGTCCCGCCTCTTTTTGCCACTTGTCCCTTGAGAAAACAAAGACAAGTGCGCAGCCATTGGCTGTCTCTTGTGTCAATCAAACCGCATCCTCTTATTAAACTCCTCCTCCTTTCCGACTGAAGTTTCTCTTTTGAAAAACATTTGTCTCTTTGAAAGTATCGTGACGCAGCCCGTCATACTCACCATCTCCGTACTCTCTCGATGGCCGCCATCACTTTCTTAATGTCATCTTTAGCGCGGCTTCGGGTCTCTGCGCGAACCGAGCGACCAGACATTTCTGAATTTTATCGGTACTCTTACTGGAATCGTGTCGGTCTCGCAGTCTGGCTTCGCAAATCTCGCGTCGCGAGAACTCAGGACCACTTTCCAGAGCTTCTTGACTGATCCCACCTACTTATAGACGGCACAGGTGGCTGCTGTTGTTTATCTTTATTACATTTGTAAACTTTATTGTAAGATGAAAAAGCCACTAGTCATATATATTCAGTCAACGACCGATGGCCCAAACCGATCTTGTAACAGCTGTACATATTTATAACCTAAATGCTTTAATATAACTCATAAAGGTTATAGTTCATTTCAAAATAAAGGCCCTCTGGGCCCGTTTTTATTTTTTAGATGAATTAAGATATCAAAATGGGTATTGTAATTATTAAAGTTAATGTTAAATATTTTAGACGTTATTTACAAATATCATATAGGCCCTATATATATATATATATATATACACACATTTATAAATTAAGGGTATTTTTTCCACCTCAGTATGACAGCATTTTGCCTTTGCAGGATACTACATTTCCCCTGAAAATGTCACTTTTAAAGCCACAAAGAGACGGCAGTAAAAAAAAAATTTTAAAAAAGGAACAAAAATTGACAAACCCTTAAAAACAGCCAATTTATTCAACAAAACCAGTATGCAAAGCAACCAAAAACAGACCAGCTTTCAAGTGAAAATAAATCAGCTTTTAGTTCTTTGTTGCATTCAGCACTGTGTCCAGAGCATTCTGAGCATCTGTTATCTGCTGCTGGAGTCTCTGTCTCACTCCATCATTTGAGGCTTTCTTCAGCATGGTCTGCATGTCCTGGATGGCAGCACGGTAACCGGTTACATTGTGAAAGACGTGAATGGCACGGTCCCCACTACTTACTAAGAAACGATTATTGATGTCAAACTTAAGGTCAGTTATCTCTTCGCTGTGAACACCGTGAAACTCCTCCTCTAGTTCACCAGTGCTGGCACTGTACATGGCTATATCACAACCGTTTGATATGGCTACTACACGACCGTCGGGAGACAGGGCAATGCGGCTCCCCTCTGCCACCTGACATGGCACAGTCCGGAGCAAATATGGGTCCTGCTTATTCTTATACTCCACATCAGTGTCCCACAGCTTCCACGTGCCGTCTTTGGACACAGTCACCATTCTGTAAAAGGGAGTGATAGAAATGTTATTGAATATTGCTATTAAAACAATAAACTGCCAATTCAAGTTTCTGCGCAGTTCAGACTCAAGTAACAAAATTATTAACACGTTTTAAAATCTGTTCACCAATAATAAATTTGTTTTTTGTTAACTAAAACTAATAAAATAGTTGTTAATTGAAATAAGTTGTAAGAAAATAAAATATAAATATTAGATGAAAAACTTTAAAATCTGACAATAGTTTAATTTGAAGTACTAAATTTACTGAAATAACTGAATAAAAATAAATTTAAGCTAAATAAATTACAAAAAAAAAAAAAATTACAAAAGCACATAAAATTACTCAAATTAAAATCTAAATTCAAAATATTTAAAAGATAATTCAAAATATTAATAAATGCTATAGTATTTAGCACCGATTAATAAACAAATTATTAACATATTTATTTATATGAATCAGTTATACATTTATGATTTTATTTATATAAATATATTGATATATTGAAGATGAGAATATCTTGCCTCCGAGAGTCATTAGAGAAATCAAAGGAGTAAACCCCAGTGACATTGAATATTGAGAGATATTGAATATATTTTTTGTTCAATGGTAAAAGATGAGAATATCTTGCCTCCGAGAGTCATTAGAGAAATCAAAGGAGTAAACCCCAGCTGAGTGTCCCTTAAGGTCAAACGCACGGGCAACCTCTCTGAACTCCCCTGATTTAGCAAAGCAAACCTCCCACACCTTCACATCAGGGGTAAAGCCACAGGAAGCAACAAACCTTATGGGAAGGAAAAAATAGTGGTTTTCAATCTATTTATGTGCATTATGTCCAAACTCTTTATCACCACTAATGCGGCACATGAATCTTTTTTATCCCAGAGGGGCTGCTTGTATTCTTTCTTGAACTAACCTTCCACACGGTGACACAGCAACATGCGAGTTGGTCATCTGATTAGTGTTTATAGTAGCTAAAACCTCTCCCTTCAGATCCCAGATCACAATGGTAGTGTCAACAGAGGCAGACATTATAAATTTGCCTGAAAACCAAGTATAAAATTACTAAAGTCTTACGCAAGCTTGCTTACTAGCCTTAGTTCAGATGCATTTAATTACTGGAGTCCACTGACCCGTCTCTGCGATTCCGATGTTGATAACGATCCCCTTGTGTTTTTGAGGGAAATCCTCCGAGGCAGCTTTGAAACTGAATGTCCCATCATCCTTTTTAATCATCTTATAGATGCGAATGGTCTCTCCATTAGCCAGCCAAGTGATAAATGCTCTAGGGACAAACACAAACCAGTCAGCAGCAATAACAGTTATAGAAAACTGTTAGATTTAATCTAATTGAACGGCATGTTATAATGAAGCCAAACGTACCGAGAGTCTGGGCTGAAGCGGACGAGTGTGGCATGGTCAAACTCAACGTTGGCCCGCAAGCACTTGTGATCTCTGTCCAGGAAGTCTTTAGAGCTCCAGATCCTGATGGTACGGTCATCAGAGCAAGATGAAAGGTATTTGCCATTGCTACTAAAATCCAGGCAAGTGACACTGCCACTGTGATTCTAGAAAGGAGAAATGAAATGCACAGAAATATCAATATACATGATTTTTAGGTAATGAATTTTCAGCAGCCATTACTTCAGAACTCCTTATAATATGCTGATTTGCTGCTCAAGAAACATTTTAATCATCATCAATGTTGAAAACAGTTGTATAATATTTTTGTGGGGACCATGACATTTTTGATTAACAGAAAGTGACACCATTTATTTGAAAAATAAATCTTTTGTAGCATTATAAATGTCTTTACTATAACATGCTTTGACAGTAAATGTCGTCATGTGTTTGCTGAAGCTTGTGATTATGGTAAGGGGTATTACATTTCTGACACGTGCTTGTGGTGTTCGGCCAATCACAATGCACTGGGTCAGCTGGCCAATCAGAGCAGACTGCACTTGTCAAAGGAGGGGCTTTGTTGAAAACGAAGTGTTTGAGAGAGGCGGGGCATAGAGGACCTACAATAATGTACAGTATTTGAAAAAGAATGTGTTTTTTGAACATTAAAGCATGTCAACATATTCTGTTACACCAAATAGCTTACACAAAATAATGATCTTTAAAATAGCATCATATGACCCCTTTAAGTATCGATACTATCGATACTGATGTTGTATCGAAAAGATCGAACCTCACATAAAAATATCGATTCTAAAGTGCATTTTTAACCATTAGTTTCATCGGAACACGCAAATGCTGAAAGACAGAACCAATCAATTACAGACAGCGTTCACTGCTGACGCATGGCTCACAGTGCTTGTTTAAATAGGGCTGCGTTTCCCAAAAGCATTTTTGTTCAAATAATTGCAGCCTTGGTGAGCACGAGACTTAAAAAAATATGACAAAATCTTACTGACCCCAAACCTTTGTGTACATGTAACATTTATTTTAAATTGGCTAGTTTGTGGAAGTAAATTTATTTAAACTGGTTGTTAAAAGTTCAAATGGATTGTGTCCTGTTCTGTAATTGCTGTCAATAAATCTGTCAGAAAAAAATATGCTAAAGTTTCACCTTTAGGGGCACAACAGCCTGGCAGCCTTTTACAAAAATGAACCATGGTTGTATTACAGTAACCACAGTTTACCACAGTATTTGAACTAAAACGGCAGTAACCACAAATTTACCATGGTAATTATAATAATACATTTTAGTACTTATGTAACACCATGTTTATTTTTCATGAGGTATCCTCAAAGGTGCACCTTTGTAACTTATCTACTCTTAAAACATGCATACTTGTATGGTACTAATATGCACACTTTTAGGGGAATAGTTGCACCTTTGAGATTTACTGCGCCAGTAAAGGGCTAAAATACAATTATAGTATATTTTATTTCTGACAATGTAAACAAAAAAAGGCCTATGAAATGTTAAAAAACATGGCTTTAAAATCTAATATTAAGTGAGAATAATTACTGATTATATTCTTTTAATAATTTAAAAGATCAGTTTAGTTTAGAGGTATCGGTATCGATATCGGCGATACTGGGCTTGAAAATATCGGTATCGGATAAAAAAAAATAAAAATAAAATAAGAGGTATCGCCCATCCCTACCCTGGTGTAGGATATAATAGTGCGTCATTCTGTCATCCTTGGTTTTATTTATTTTTTAATTCTAAAAATTTTTTATTTCCATGTTATTTTCCATATATATTCTGCATTCGACTTTAGGTGTTGCTTCATTCAATTATATTTGGATAATCTCCTCTGATAAATGCACACACATACAAATACATATAAAATATTATGCACTACAATATTCAACAAATTTTTTTTTTTTGCTTTAAAGTCCATGAAATGGCATTCACAAACAATTTTACCTTTGTAATTTTGGATGGAAACAAAATATTGAAAAAAAAGTAAGATAAATAAAGGAAAAGAAAAAGGTTTGATTTTATCCATCAGGAATTGATTAGATCTAGTGATACATACACACACACACACATATACAGTGGGGGAAAAAAGTATTTAGTCAGCCACCAATTGTGCAAGTTCTCCCACTTAAAAAGATGAGAGAGGCCTGTAATTTTCATCATAGGTATACCTCAACTATGAGAGACAAAATGAGAAAAACAAATCCAGAAAATCACATTGTAGGATTTTTAAAGAATTTAAATAAGAGGTATCTCCCATCCCTACCCTGGTGTAGGATATATAGTGCGTCATTCTGTCATCCTTTGTTTTATTTATTTTTTAATTCTAAAAATTTTTTATTTCCATGTTATTTTCCATATATATTCTGCATTCGACTTTAGGTGTTGCTTCATTCAATTATATTTGGATAATCTCCTCTGATAAACGCACACACATACAAATACATATAAAATATTATGCACTACAATATTCAACGATTTTTTTTTTTGCTTTAAAGTTCATGAAATGGCATTCACAAACAATTTTACCTTTGTAATTTTGGATGGAAACAAAATATTGAAAAAAAAGTAAGATAAATAAAGGAAAAGAAAAAGGTTTGATTTTATCCATCAGGAATTGATTAGATCTAGGGATACATACACACACACATATATATATATATCTATATTTTTATATCTATCTATCTATATATAAAAATTAAGTGTGAATCATTTATAATCCATCCATTAATACAAATTCAACACCTCAGAGACTAGTCCATACATGCATTTATTTGAAGGACAACCCATTGTTCTTTAAAAAAAGGAAACAAAAATAGAACATATTTCCAGTTAACATTTACAATACAATCTATCCATGTATTATATTTATATTAATTCATTCTTTTTGACATCATCAATCCACAGGTGCTACAGCATGATTATTAAATTATGTAAATAGGATTTTTAAATATATTAAATTAAATTAATTTACTTTACTTTTAATTAAATAACACTGTTAAATGTAATCTTCAGCAAATAACAAAATATAAATTTTTCATACGGTACAATATTATTCTATGAAATTCACTTTCAAATAATTGTACATTTTAGTGTTTAATTTTTAACTTATTTAAACAAAATAATATAGCACTTTAATTAATTTAGTTAACTAAATTCTAAAAAAAATTATTTTTAACTTATTTAGACAAAATAGTATTGAATTTTAATTGAATTGTGAAAAGAATCCTGCTCAATAAGACCAGCAATGTGCATCAAAGTACACAAACAACAAAGTGAAACAAAGTAAATAGGGTTGATTTTGATTTCATGTTGACTTTAAAGGGAAAAATGCTTGGAAATAATTACTGATAGAACAAACCTGCTGAATGCTCTGCACAGCAGAGTTGGTTTCATCTCCCACGGTGGTCGAGAACTCAGTGGTTTTGCTGGTGAAGTCAGCATACTCGTCTGAATCAGACAGCTCTGGCTCATGAGGCAGGAGTTTAGCCCTATTCTTGGTGGGATTGGAGTTCCTGGAGACTTTTTCCGCAGTCAGAGAGCCTTTCTCCAGAGTCAGAGAGGGCTGAACAACAGAATGACAAACAGAAACCAAATAATAATAAAAAAACACACACATTCAAATTTCGCTCATGCAGCACAATCCTCCTTTAATTTTCATTCTCTGTCTATTATCATGCAAAACAGGCTGTTACAAGACAAACCTGTGCAATACTGATGGTGGAAGCATCGACTGTTGATGGTTCTTGAAGATCAAAGTCACCCAATCGTACGGTCACAATCTGCTGAGATCACATGAAGCTTAGACATCTAGGCTTCCATAAGCTCAAAAATGTTCAAGTGAAAAAGTGAAATGAAAATGTCCTTTAAATTCAGTCAATATTTTGTCATTTCATAGTCATTCATTTTCAATGAATTAATTAGTGTTATTTTAGTCCATTGTACGCACTAAAATAGCATGTAATTTTCAGTAATAGAGGAACTGTAATATTGTGAAATATGATTACAATTTAAAAGAACTGATTTCTATTTGCATATTTACAGTTTTTGTTTACAGTTTTAGCGGCATCATATTTTTTTGGAAACTGTTTACCATTTTTCACCTGTCTACCATTCAAAAGTTTGGAGTATGCTTAAAAAATAAATTAACACTTTTATTCAGCAAGGTAAAACAGGTCCATTTTGCTGACAAAGATAGCATGTAATTTACTCAACCAAAACATAATTTATTTGATGAAAACTTACAGATAGAGAAATGTAGAAACATTTATAGTTTATTTATTTAATTTCAATATGTAAAATACATTAATGAATGCATAAAATGTTTTAAATGTATAAAAAGATTTATGCATGAACTATAGATGAATTACTTGATGCACTTGATGATTTTTTTTACATTTACATTTATGCATTTAGCAGTAATTTAATTTATATAATCTTAATTATCACTGACAATATCAAAAAAGCGTTTTTTTGAAAAATATATGTGGTTGTTTCTCACCTCGGGGTGTTTGCGGCGCATGTGGCGGTTCATGGAGGCGCGTGTGGAGACTTTGGTGCCGCACAGGTGGCAGCTCTGAGCCTCCACCTTCTCATGGGTCAGCTGCATGTGTTTCTGCAGCATATACTGCGTCACATACTTCTTGTCACAGACGGAGCAAGAAAACGTCTTTCCAACTGCAAAAGACAGACAGATGAGAGTAAATATTTGACTGTTTTACTGTAACTAAACCAAACTCTGTATAATATTTCCATGAACTGTACCTGTATGAATAAGCTTGTGCGTCTCCATTGTGTTTCTCTCACTAAACGTTTTCCCACACAGTTCACACATGAAGTCCTTTGTGCCTGAAGGAAGACATTACTATATTTTGAATCTTGTTTTGCGATGTGTATCATATGTAACATTATAGTACAAGTCAAGAATGTTGCTCACCTGTGTGTCTTTTGTAATGCTTCAGCATGTTGACTTTCTGGGCAAATTTGCGGTTACATTCTTTACATTCGTATTCTTTAATTCCCTTGTGCAGCTTCATATGATGCCGTAGGGCATGTTTCGTCTTCATGCCTGGAAAACAGAGACAAATATATGTACTCATCTTGTAAATGTTTTGCTTTTGGAATCATTTCTGGTCACAATCAAGCTACACAGTTTCACATTAGCATGCAAGGTGTATTAGGGGATTGAGAGGGATGAAGTGTCCGTACCTTTCCCACACTCCGCACACAGGAAGTCTCTGACGTTGTCATGGACCCTCAGATGTTCCTTTAGCATGTCTTTCCTGGCAAAGGACTTTCCACACTGATCACAGCAGTGGCTCTTCACTCCTGCAGCGGCCAGAGGGTTTATCACTTTTAACTAAGCCTTGTATATAAAATTAAAGTAATTACACTACACTAATTTCTACCTGTGTACTATATTGGTAACACCAGGCTCACCTGTGTGGATGATTTTGTGCCTCTCCAGGTTGCCGATACTGTTGAAAATCCGTCCGCACATGTCACATGGATGAATATATCTGTGAAGAAAGTAGTGGAATTTAACTTTGCCGCAAAAAAAACGTTAAACGTTTTTTTCAAAAGCCTCATGAAAAAGCTCTGTCTTACTTCTGCACTGCAGGATCAGGCAGGTGGTCTCGGTGGATGACCAGGTGAGCGTTATACGTGGCCTTCAGAGCAAAACGGCGGTTACACATGGTGCAGTTGTACCCTTTTTCTTTATGCATGTCCATTATGTGTTTCAAGTAGTCACGACCCTTGGCGAATGTCATCTGATGAAGGATGATGAAAAGAGAGGGAGAATGTTTATGATATGTAAATAAATGATTTTGCTGGGAATATAAAATTAAGGAACATTATGAACATCACAATGGATCATTATTTAGCAATTAAAAGAGTTTGTGAATTAATTAAATTTCAATGAAGTGATTTTACTATTTGTTTGTGGCAACACTAAAAAATCTTCATGGAAACCTATACATGGTGTTTTTAAAATATTTTTATGCATTTTATGAATTAAAATGTGGAAATATATGTCGGTAAATATGGCTGTTTATTACTATTTATTGCTTCTATATTTGTGCATATAAATGAAAATTAATAAATAGCAAAACATACACTGAATATTTTTATTTAGATTTTTTACTGTATTTTATTTCTTGGGAAAAAACATATGACTCTAATTTGCAACAATACATGACAGTTACTCAGTTACAAAAAATAATTTAAGAGCAAAAAACTACTAGACATTAAATATCGTCAAAAGGCCGGAAATTTCAAGATGTCACGACAACACGACAGTTTACTTGACATTTCTTGCAGCTGTATTTGTGATGATCAGGATCGTTCTTCTCATCTTCCTCATCAGAGCTGTCATCACTCTCCTCCATAGAGATGCCAATCTTCTTAATGAAGTCCTCTCTCTCCTGCTCATCCAATAAGGCGATGTCCTGAAAAAAAAAAAGCATTTTGGAACTCAATTAGAGTAGAACATCACAAATAAATCACCAACTGAAATTCCATTTAAGCATGTGAATGCCCTTTAACTAAAATGTTTTTGTCAGCGGTGGATTTCCTTCAGGCTGACTAGTCATTCAGACAACCCACCAACTACTTACTAATGAAAAAACTGTTTTGCACGCCACTATTCCTCACCTTAAAGTGTACATGTATGTGATCTCTCAGCACATCCACACGGAAGAACTTGCGGCCACAGATCTCACAGGTGTATTTCTTGTCCCCATGGGTTAGTAAGTGTTTGTTCATATTACTCCGACAGGAAAACACCTTGAATATAAAGTTGTTTATTTTTTTTTTAAATTCAGTTTAGCACAGATCTGCTATCAACATATTTGGTGTCACTGATATAGAAAAGCCACCTTTCCACAAATGGGGCATGCCGAAGGCTCCTTCCTGTATTTGCTTCCCTCCTCCCCATTCGCTTCAAGCTCCTCTCGTTTCATGTTCTTTGGGCCTGTGGAAAAGCAATGGGTTGTGGAAGCCATTAGTGCACACACAGAGGACGTGACATAATGGTTGATGAAAGAAAAGAAAGTTAAAGAGAACAGTTGTGCAAGAACCATCTGTTCAATGTTTGCTTTTTTACTGATTAGCAAAACAGATTTTACCTGCCGTTTTTCCATTTCAAAGATACGTCAAAAATATTTTACATATGCATGGAGTGTGTCCTTGGTTTATTTGAAGTATTACAATGAAATAAATTAATTGAAGCAGCGATCTCAATAACTCACCAACATGCCGCCTCTGGTGGTCCTGCATGACATCTTTGCGGTAGAACATCTTATTGCAGATTTCACACGCGTAGAGTTTCTCTCCATGTTTCTTTTTGTGCTTGGACAAATTACTGTTAGTGGAGAAAAACCTTGAGCATATCTCACACTGGAACGTTTTGTCATCTGCAAAAAGAGGAGAACATATGAAACAGATATTGTGCATGCTGTCAAATACATATTTTATTCATTTAAATTTTATACAATGCATTTGAAAAATATATTTCTAAATTGTGTATTATTCCTCAAGTCATATAAAAACCTCGAATTGTAAAAGGGTTATGAACTTTTTATTTAATTAATTACATAATATCCTAATAAATTTGTCATATCTGTTTATTAAAATTAAATCAACAGTCAATTGACCAATAATTAATATATATATTACACTTAATTAATAATTACTATTATTATTATTTGTGGTTATTTATGGTTTAGAATAACTGTCTTAAATCTAAAACAGAAATGTATGGTGCAATATTTAGCTAAAATGATTTAATGAATGTCATTCAAATGAAACTTATTCTTTACCTGTCCTGCAGTTATGAAATCTTAAGGCATTTTCCACTCTGAAAGATTTCCCACAGGTTGAACATTTGTATCTGTACTCTATGTCAGGCTAAGAAAACATACACAAATACAACATACAAAAACACACAGATTCATCTAAAATTAATGCATCTAGCCATATTTTAATATGTTATTTTATTAAATCAATAAATAAGATGTTATTGGTTTAAAAAACGCACCATACCTCATTCTTGCTGTGTTTGTATGATATATGCTGTTTCAGACTCTCCTTTCGAAAAATTAATGCATCTAGCCATATTTTAATATGTTATTTTATTAAATCACGCACCATACCTCATTCTTGCTGTGTTTGTATGATATATGCTGTTTCAGACTCTCCTTTCGACTGAACATCTTGTCACACTCATCACACTTAAAACATTTATCGCCTGTAAACAGTTTAGATTAACAGTAAAGCATATGACACAATATTATTTATTATATGAAAGTCATTTCTCAGGATGCTGGGAGAGTTACCGTGGGAACGGATGTGTCGGTTGAGGTTGCTGCTGTTCTGAAACACCTTACTGCAGAGGCAGCACTGGAAAACTCTTTTATGATCGCCTCCCTGTCGCAGAGATCTCTTCCTCATACCAGGTCTAACAGACAAATAGGATAAAGAATTGATTAATGAAAAAAAGTGAAATTACACTATTGTTCAAAAGTTTGGGTTCAGTAAGATTCTTTAATATTTTTGAAATAAGTCATTTATCCTCAACAAGCATGCATTTATTTGATCAAAAATCAATATTGTGAAATATTATTACAAACTATTTTCTATTATAGTATATTTTCAAATGTAACTTATTCCTGTGATGCAAAGCTGAATTTTCAGCAGCATTACTCCAGTCTTCAGTGTCACTCGATCCTTCAGAAATTCAAAATGGTACAGGTAACTTCAAAGGAACAGCGTTTATTTGAAATAGAAATCTTTTATACATTTATAAATGTCATTTTGTCCCTTTTGATCATTTTAATGCATGCCTGCTGAATGTCTTAAAAAAAGAAACTAGCCCCAACTTTTAAACAGTAGTGTATGTGTTTTAAAACACAGAGGATGTGACATAAATGAATTGTAAAAGTCGTCCTTACTTCACAGAGGAGATAGGGGAGCGTGTCACCCGAGATGTTTTGAGTGGCGGGCCGTCTCTGGCAACCACCTCTTGGACATCCAGTACAGACAGGGGAACATCAGAAGCCACAGTACTGAGAGGCTGCTCACCGGACACAAAAACAGGGGCTTCTGCTAGATGGGAGGTGAAAAAATAAAGCTCATTCAAACAATCTTTCAAGGGTTACTTTTCTGAAATGTGCTTTAATAACCTACTTTGTAGGCCATACCCCTATAATTCCCACCTCACCTTGACTAGAATCAGCTGTTCCACTCGGCACAGGTTTCTGTGCTTTTGTCCGTCGTGGCCTGCCTTGCTTTCTAGTTGGCTCTGGTGGGGTGGGGGCAATTTTGGCTGTGTTGTTTTGGGATGCCGCCTCTGCAACCTGCTGGACAGGTGGGTCTGTGGAAAGTGCTGGGGTTTGGCAAAGCAGCCGGTCCGGGACTGGAAGGGTCTCTGTTGGTGCCCCCTTTGCCAGAGGGACTCCAGGTTTGTTGGACACCATTTCTGAAGACGCAAAAGGATGAATAACTTCATCCAACAGAAGTATAATGCACATTGCACAGACTTTAAAGCACACATACCTGGTGGAGGTGGAAGAACAGGTGGCCTAAGGACAGGCCGATCCATTTTTTTGGCATAAAAAGCTCCATACCAGACTCTAAGCTCTGTTCCGGGCAGGACATCCTGAGACGGAACAAATGAGAGAACAATCAAAGTAAATGAGCATATGAAATTGAATAACACACCACAATAAACTAAGCTGTTCATTATTTATCAATGTTAATAACATAACTGTACCCGTCCTCACTATATAACCACAGAGCTATGAATGGCACTGAAGTGCGGCATCAATTCACCTGTGATGTATTAAAGTAAACATCATCATCTTGCTGGTAGGCCGTCAGATTCTGGTGTTTGTGGTCTGTGGCGGGCCGAACCAACATCATCCAGTTACAGTCGTCTTCATTAGACATGTCAAAACACACCACTGAGCCGTCCTTTTGAAATACCTAAGATATACAATAGAGAAAACATTAAGTATAGGCGCACTTGGATAGGAGTGGCATATTGATGGTCTATTGTTTACCTTTAAAGGAAATGCCCCCTCAGTTTGAAGGCTTGGAACCTTCTTGGCCTCAAATGGGCCAAATCGAGTCCTCTTAACCAGCCATCGAAGCACAAACACACCTTCTTTCCCCTTCTCAGCTAACCTGATCTCCAAGCTGCCTGGTAAAGACGACCTGGAACATGGACAATAATGATGTTAAAATTTCAATAACGTTAATATATAAAACTTTTACATTGTTACAAAAATATTATATTTCAAATAAATACTGTTCTTTTAAACATTCTTTTTTTTTTTTTTTCTTGAAATTGTTTTCCACAAAAATATTAAGCAGCACAACTGCTTTTTAAAAACTGGTAATAATGAGAAATGTTATTTGAGCACCGAATTAGAATATTAGAATGATTATGTGACACTGAAGACTGGAGTAATGGCTGCTGAAAATTTAGATTTAAATTCATAGGAATAAATTACGTTTTAAAATCTATTAAAATAGAAAACTGTTATTTAAAAATTTGAATAATATTTCACAATATGACGTTTTTAAAACTGTTATTGTCATAATAAAATTTTGGTAATAAACACAATACAGAGTCAATATCTTGCACATATGGCCATCTAATTGTGGTCAGTGCGCTCAGGCAGAGCCAAGACCCTCTCTGAGGATATCTGGCCAAAAGCCACTCATGTTCGCTCACCGTGCCCGACTCAGAACAAACGAGTCCTTCACCGTGACGACAGGCCCCAGCTCAGGACACTCAGAGTCATGGTACTGCCCGCAGTCCTCACACCCTGCATGGAGTACAGTCACATGCGCATATTACACCATACTCTTTAATAATACAAGGACACTGCAAAAAAGCTTGACAGTGGCAATGAGGATACAATATTGCAATATTACAATGATGTTGCATGTATATTCATAAACAAATGTGAGGTTATAGTTGCATACTTACAAATAAACTCATCTGGTGTCTGCTCTGCCATTCTGACACCCTACAGATGATGCACAAAAGTTAGTTTTAACACCTGTAACAATTTTATCATTCAATTAATTTGTCAGCACAACTGCTTTTTAAAAACTGGTAATAATGAGAAATGTTATTTGAGCACCGAATTAGAATATTAGAATGATTATGTGACACTGAAGACTGGAGTAATGGCTGCTGAAAATTTAGATTTCAATTCATAGGAATAAATTACGTTTTAAAATCTATTCAAATAGAAAACAGTTATTTAAAATTTGAATAATATTTCACAATATGACATTTTTAAAACTGTTATTGTCGTAATAAAATTTTGGTAATAAACACAATACAGAGTCAATATCTTGCACATATGGCCATCTAATTGTGGTCAGTGCGCTCAGGCAGAGCCAAGACCCTCTCTGAGGGTATCTGGCCAAAAGCCACTCATGTTCGCTCACCGTGCCCGACTCAGAACAAACGAGTCCTTCACCGTGACGACAGGCCCCAGCTCAGGACACTCAGAGTCATGGTACTGCCCGCAGTCCTCACACCCTGCATGGAGTACAGTCACATGCGCATATTACACCATACTCTTTAATAATACAAGGACACTGCAAAAAAGCTTGACAGTGGCAATGAGGATACAATATTGCAATATTACAATGATGTTGCATGTATATTCATAAACAAATGTGAGGTTATAGTTGCATACTTACAAATAAACTCATCTGGTGTCTGCTCTGCCATTCTGACACCCTACAGATGATGCACAAAAGTTAGTTTTAACACCTGTAACAATTTTATCATTCAATTAATTTGTGGCATGGTGGCATTCTTATGACACTTTTGCAATAGGATAGGATTGAATAATTCTAATTACATTGATTGTTAATTAAAAGTAGATTAGTACACTAATTACATTACGGTTTTAAATATAAATCAAAAATGTTACATATTCCAATATTTAAAACGTATAGAATACAAACTTGTATTCATGTTGACTTGGCAATTTTTTTTTTTAAAGGGGTCATATGATGTTGCTAAAAAGAACATTATTTTGTGTATTTGGTGTAATGAAATGTGTTTATGTGGTTTAAAGTAAAAAAAACACATTATTTTCCATATACTGTACATTATTGTTTCGCCTTTTTGAAACGCGTCGAGCATATTACACCATACTCTTTAATAATACAAGGACACTGCAAAAAAGCTTGACAGTGGCAATGAGGATACAATATTGCAATATTACAATGATGTTGCATGTATATTCATAAACAAATGTGAGGTTATAGTTGCATACTTACAAATAAACTCATCTGGTGTCTGCTCTGCCATTCTGACACCCTACAGATGATGCACAAAAGTTAGTTTTAACACCTGTAACAATTTTATCATTCAATTAATTTGTGGCATGGTGGCATTCTTATGACACTTTTGCAATAGGATAGGATTGAATAATTCTAATTACATTGATTGTTAATTAAAAGTAGATTAGTACACTAATTACATTACGGTTTTAAATATAAATCTAAAATGTTACATATTCCAATATTTAAAACGTATAGAATACAAACTTGTATTCATGTTGACTTGACAATTTTTTTTTAAAGGGGTCATATGATGTTGCTAAAAAGAACATTATTTTGTGTATTTGGTGTAATGAAATGTGTTTATGTGGTTTAAAGTAAAAAAAAAAAACACACATTATTTTCCACATACTGTACATTATTGTTTCTCCTCTATGCCCCGCCTTTTTGAAATGTGTCGATTTTTACAAAGCTCATCGGTCTGAAAAGCGAGGTGTGCTGTGATTGGCCAGCTATCCAGTGCGTTATGTTTGGCTGAATACCTCAAGCGTGTGACGGAAATGTTACGCCCCTCACCATACTGTTGAGGCCGTGTCCCGGCCGGAGCGACGAGACATAAACATTAAAACCCATTACAAACGAGGCATTTGTTGCATCCAGTGGGGACATAATTACTGATTATAATGACTTATACTGTCTTTTTACGCGTTGCGTTGCATTGCATCGCGCCGCGTAAACATAAAACTCTGTCTGCATTTGGGATCGGAGAAATGACAAACAACAAGTGCTACTAACTCTACTGCCCAAAACTCGCGTTTGAATCATCAGTGACAACTAAAAACACAGCGGCCTAGCGTGAGGGGAAGCCCCAGCTTAGCGTGCGCCGAAGCCGGGATAGAGTGAGCTGAGGCGGGCTGGACTCCGCTTCGTCCACGGTGAAAGTTGATGTATTCCCTCAGCGACCAGCACGGATCAGCTCCAGGCATGACGAAGCGGTTATCGTCCTTTTTTGGAAAACCAAACAAAGTAGTTTCGCTTTCACAACGAAGCACACAACGTCTTCAGGACATCACTGCAGCGTCAACTATACTACAGCGAGAATACAAGTTACGCCTTCTTTCTTTGCGCGAACATTTGGGCGGCGTTATGCAAATCTTCCCACATCGTGAGGTAGATATGTGGGGGCGTGTTAGAACGAGCCGTTTTAGGTAGGCGTGGTTAACTCTTAACTTTTATAAAGAATATCTCTTTGGTTTTGAGACTTTAGTGTTTGCAACTTTACAGATCTTCTTTATGCACCAAGAGCTTGTAACACTCCAAAGAGAAAGGAAAAATTGAAATCGCATCATATGACCCCTTTAAATAATTTTCTACAAAAAATTTGATAAGCATAAAAAAATACCAGGTTGTGTAATTGCTTAGATATATAATAATAAAAGACTACGTCTAACAGCTTATGCTAAATTTCTATTTCCAAAATGTTAGCCTTTAAAAAAACTGTTTTAAAATTACACTTAAACTTTTTAGTATTAAAATAAAACCACATAATATGTATTTCAGTAATTTTTGTATTAACTGGGCTTTTAAATATTTTTTGAATATAACTTTGTAAATTTGGGCTAAAAATATGCACGTCTAGCATGTATAAAGAAAAGACTACATTAAATACTACGTTATAAAATTGTAAGGTCGTAATGCAAACACATTGTAAAAACGCATGTAAATGCACTTTACCATTATAACTTTGTATTCGTTGCATTGCTGTCAGTCAGCAAAGCCCATTACACAGTGCAACAGATTTTGTTGATGCTCCCAAGATCAACAATAACAACAAATGACGCTCTTTTTCGACGCAGATCGGGGAGCAGTCTGCGCATGAATCGCCCGTAAGCAGCCAGGGAAGAGGAGTACAATACGGACAGAATCCGTGATTTGGGAAGATTTCAAACTGTAGCCGGGTTTTAACTCCGATCTCAGGCTGCGCTCGCGCTCTTTCAGCAATGCAAATGTAACAAAGAACAATCGGCATGGCGGATGGAATGGAGACGCAGCGCTCATCTGGAGCCAGAGCGTTTGAAAACACAAAGCACGAGAAACTCGCTCCGCTCACACTTTTCATTGCTCCTGCACCTGTGAATGAGGAGCATTTGGCCATTTCGCTCAATGCGTTTGAATATAAATGCTTCACAATTTAGCATAAAGCCATTACCTGTTTTCAAAACGTCTACACATTTAGTGAATCCTGACTCCGGGTTACAATCCGCTCCAGAAACCGCGCAGGACCGGAAATAAGACCCGCGAAGGGGATTATGGGATATGTAGTTTTTCCACAAACGCCGTACCCTGTGAGATTTGCCTCAAATGTTCCATCTGATTAATTCGATTATGCAAATGACTTCATGCAGATTGAAAACGTCTGAATGAGTTTTGATGTGAAAAAGTTCACACAGGAATGTTCAGTCAGTGTTTATTGCTCAAACCAATAAAGATATACTGATGAACAGAATCCCTGCAGATCACAGGCTGACGTTCCATACATCAGTCTTTGTCACTTCACCATCATAGAGCGGTTCAGTCATTACGTCAACGTGTAGGCTAATTGGGAAGCTAATTATTAGGTTTGAAGAGTAACAAAAGTTCATTACATGAAAAGACTTTCACACATATTGCACAAACTCATACATCAAATGTGAAATTTAAAGCTTTGAATTAAAGACTACAACAGTGGTTCATTAACTAACATCCTTATGGTAGTTGTAGTCCTTATTTAGCAACACCTTAGCCACGTGTTAAATTAAAATGCACAGCACAGTAGTATGTCCATATGTTGTTGTTTTTTTTTTTTTAGAACAAAACAAGTATCTTCAAGTAATGACAGACTTTTACTCATAAATCACAAACCACCATTCCTAAGAGCTGATAAGAGAATTCTAGAGGGTTTTAGGACTTCAAACTCAACAGCTCTATAAGTTCTTACTGCACAGGCCATACACATGAGCAATCTTAATATTGCAGGTAAATGTTTTATGGTGAGCAATGAAACAATTATCATTCACAACAGCCATTTCTAAGGTCCTTCTGGTTAAGGAGGCCAACCAGACTCCAAAAGAACGCACAGATGAGTTGACGAGTAGTTCTTTAATGCACATGGATACATTATGATATGCATATACAGAGGACTGATGTACATATTGCACAAACTCATACATCAAATGTGAAATTTAAAGCTTTGAATTAAAGACTACAACAGTGGTTCATTAACTAACATCCTTATGGTAGTTGTAGTCCTTATTTAGCAACACCTTAGCCACGTGTTAAATTAAAATGCACAGCACAGTAGTATGTCCATATGTTTTTTTTTTTGTTTTTTTTTAGAACAAAACAAGTATCTTCAAGTAATGACAGACTTTTACTCATAAATCACAAACCACCATTCCTAAGAGCTGATAAGAGAATTCTAGAGGGTTTTAGGACTTCAAACTCAACAGCTCTATAAGTTCTTACTGCACAGGCCATACACATGAGCAATCTTAATATTGCAGGTAAATGTTTTATGGTGAGCAATGAAACAATTATCATTCACAACAGCCATTTCTAAGGTCCTTCTGGTTAAGGAGGCCAACCAGACTCCAAAAGAACGCACAGATGAGTTGACGAGTAGTTCTTTAATGCACATGGATACATTATGATATGCATATACAGAGGACTGATGTGTTAGATTTTATTTAACAACTGGATCACCTCTGGTCGGCCAATCAAGCAGGACAAAAATAAAATCTTCATGTGCCTCCTTCCATTTCAATGGAAAATACCTCTTTCATTTTTTGACTGTTAAGAAATACAATGAATTGTTAACAGCCAGGCCGCACATAACAACACACAACATAGACAAAAAAAAAGAAAAAAAAAAGGGGGGTAAAACACAGACCAGCAGTCCTCCCAGAATACATATAAAACAACCAGACTGCTGAGGTTTCTTTCTGGCAACATTCAGTATGGACAGGCATTCAGGTTTCTTCTACATATGCAGCTTGAGGTCAAGTAAATGTCAAATGGAACCTGTTATTGAATCTTCCACAGCACAAATCCACTGCAGTTCTCCACACAGGCTCAACAGTTGAGGTCCAAAATACAAACTGGCTGGCATTCACAGCCAACATTTCAGGTGGCTTAAGATTACAGGTAAAAGACGACACCACAATTAGGAAAATACCATAAATCATGAACATATTGAATAGCCTTAGTCTACTAATAGACTTAGTCCTTAGTCTATTGAATAATCTTTCTCTATGGTAAAATGCCCTTGCTTAGTGTTAAAAACCTTTGGTACAATTCACACACATTTCTTTTTTTTTTTTTAAATGTGTGGCATGATATAATGGCTGTGGAAGAAGAAGAAAAAAAGGGGGGGGGGAAATCATAAACATGTTTACACATTAATTACACAGTACACAATGTATGAATAAAAGGAAAATATTTAAAATAAAATAATTTATTCATATTTTCCCATCTCTGTTAGAATATTTAGAAATTAAAAGATGAATAAAACACCAAACCTGTTTTAAAGCCAACATATCAGTGCCAAACCAGAACATTTTAAATGTTATGCTCTGTTTGAAAATGTTTCGCTGCACAATTTTTGAAAATAAAACTCACTATTCAGTCAAATTTGGTGGAACTGCAGATTTGTCTCCTTAACAAAAGGAAAACTCTCATATTCAATTCACATTAAGACAGAGGTCTTTCACATCATTTTTTATAAAGCATGTTCACTACCAAACCCCACAGAATTCACTGCACATCCCTGCAAATGCATTTGGAATGAGTTCTGAGCATATAAATAAGTGCAACTCAAAACGATGGTTTTCCCTTGTCTGATATTCCAGGATTCATCAGGTCGCCAGAGGGTTAAAGCTCAGGTAGATGGCAAGAAAGGGTTGTCCTCAAATCCAGCTTTAGTTAGAAGGCCACAAACGCAGAATATCATTTGCATGACGATCAATATTTGCAAAAGGTTAAATGACACGGAGTCATTTGGAGTGACGAAGAGAGCCAGTGCTCATTTGGATGATGTTTTGTAAACTTTCTTGCATTAACACACGCACAAAGTTCAAAGATGATGGTGAAAGGTGTGGACAGAACTGTGAAGTAGGGAAAGCGCCCCTAATGTCCCTCTACATGGACAAAGAAATGAATCTAGCGCCAGGCAGACGGACTTCATAGAGCTGATCAAGAAGAACCAAGCTGAGAGGTCTGAATAATGGAATAGGTTTTCAGGAAATCTGGATGATGGTGTTAATATGGAGTTGATGAGAGTGATTGTTGCTACGCAGACGTTTTGGCAAATATGGCCCAGAAACTAGCAATGACTTGCATAAAAGTTACAAGAATGAATGTGATCGGGAGGATGTTAGAAAGATGAAGAGGTGCAAAAGCTACTAGTTTTGATGAAGGCGACAGAGTGGGCAGTTCATGTGGGCGGTTCTCTCACTGTGCCGTTGGCTTTGCTCTTGCTCCTGGGTAGAAGCTTGCGGTTGATGATGCGCCTGAAGGTGGCCGTCCTCTTTTCCCTGTCGCCCATCATGGCCGCCTCGGGATGCTCCAAGTACTGCAGGTCATTGTGGGACTGGCTCATTCCAGGCTCCTTTCGCTGATGTCGCCGCCTGAAGAATAGCTTGGCACTCTTGTGCAGGAAGCTGCCTACAGGGGGCGCCAAAGAGAGATGAAAATAATCAGACAAGCTCCCCAACATACTTCACTGAGCCAACCTGGAGGTCAAACTCCACACTTGGATCAAAAGTAACCTAAACCGTAAACTTAGGAATCAAACATTCTTTCGATTTTGTTGACCTCCATGAAGACACAGCGGATGTGTGGGAATTCTGATGCAATCTGAATATTACTCATATCAGTGCATCTTTTTCAGCTCTGAAAGATGCTACTGCAACACACTGGTGGTGTCAAATGTAAATGAGTTGAAAGAGCACAAGCACACTACTAAAATAAAGTACGCAAACATATTCGAAAGTGCTTGGTTTTAGAATGAAAGCAGTATAAACCATTCCACACCAGCTTAGAAGTTCCGCATGGTTAAACTTCTGGATTTTTTTACGCTGCTTGGGCAAGTTATCAGCAAAACATCTCAATGGGCCAACAATGAAAAGGTTCAGCACAGCACAAAAATAAAACCAAGGGATGCCTCCAAAGATTTGAGAAGCCAAATGGCATGTCAAATCTTTCTCCATGTCCAAAAGTCAAGAATGACTCCACATGTTACTTAAATACAGGGTAATAACTTATTACGATGAAAGCGTGTATAAAATGCTGGAGTATGGACTGGCTTTTTACTAAAGGGTTTGTTAACCATTTCACAGGGAAGTCTACATACTTTTACTATTATGGACTTCTCAAGAGGTCACTTACTCTGCCAGCAATAAAGTCTGGTTAGGACAGGTTTCCACTTTAAGATGGCAAAGAAAAACAACACAAAGTGATAAGGGAGAGGTATAGAGGATGAAAAAGAAAGTGGATGTAATCAAATGTCAGAAGTAAAGACACTAGACAGTGCTGTAACGTTCATATTAAACACAAAGGTAAGAGAGAATTGTGTAACCATGTTAGAAATGGTTACAAAAAACATTTCTAACATGGCATCCCACTAACAGACTCAATTTTGATAGAGATTTTCCCTAAGAAAACTTCCCTCGTGTCAAAGATTGTTCATATTAAGCAACTCAAGTGACAGAATAAACAACTACTTTTCAGTCACGTGAAGTTTGTAGAATTTAGCATTAAATTGATACTATTAAATAGATATTAAATTGATACAAAAAGTGACAGTAAAGACATATATGATAAAAGATTTCTGGTTAAAATAAACTCTGCTCTTTTCACTGAATGTATCACGGTTTCCACTAAAATATTAAGCTGCACAACTGTTTTCAGTATTGATAAGAAGAAGAAATGTTTCTCGAACACTATATCAGCATATTAGAATGATTTATGAAGGATCATGTGACACTGAAAACTGGAGCAATGGCTACTGAAAAATCAGCATTGCCATCACATATTGTATTTTTAATCAAACAAATGCAGCCTTGGTTAGCATAAGACTTTTTTTTTTCTTTTCAAAAATTCTTAACCCAACATTTTTGAACGGCAATGTAAATGCAGGCCATTGACCTTGTTTTTCACATGCAGTCCTGCGATCAGATTTATAACTCAGTAAAACACTATGTGCTTTGAAGGTGTAAACAGGTTAAATACAAACTCAAAATCCATATTCTGAATGTTGTTGTTGTTCATTCACATAAAGCTCAAAGTTCATCCCCCTTTTCCCCCCTCACCTTTTCCCTTTTTGGAACCCATTTCAGAGATACAGAGGGACAGAGACGTTTTATCTGCATCTGGGTCTTCTCCGGCCTGGCTCTCCCAGTCCTCCATGTGGTCTGTGCCATTCGCACCTGCCAGAGACTCTGTGGGTTCGAGAATGCCGGGTTCTGCCACTGTTGGTAACACTTCACTGCTGGTGCCTTCAGATACTCCGGACATTGAAGCGTCCATCGCAGCTGCATATCCTGCCATCAGAGTCATCTCCTCATCCTGTGTCAGAGGGGCCTAGAGAGGAGGTTAACAGTAAAGCCTTAATTAGAAACTGAAGTTAAAGAACTTGTTTTATGATGTAACATTGTGACTACGACAAGGTACCACTAACTACCTACAAATATCTACAAGATAAATTAATTCTATTTGATACAGATCATCAAGTGTATTTTGTATAAATAAATAAAAAATGCCAAACTACAATACATTTTTTTAAGTCTCAGGACATGCTTGCCGAGTTTTATTTTGAAGGTTTCAAATTTTGAAAGAAAAAATTCTGTATGATACCAATAAGCTGATAATTTTGTAATAAATTATGCACTATTTTGTATAAATCAAAATCAGTTGTTTTAAATTCTAAAAGTGACAATGGGCAAAAAAATTATAATAATAATAAGTTGTCCCAAAAATGTCAAACTACATTGACATTGTGTGGATTCTTGGAATGATAATCCTATCCAAGGTTTTAAAGTTATCCAATTTTTTAAAGAAAAAAAAACAAAACAATTCTGTCTGACACAGAAAAGCTGATTCAAATGTTGTACTATTTTGTATAAATAAATTAAAATCAAAATCAGTTGTTTTAAACGCTATAGTGAATTTGGGCAATGTAAAGTTATAATGTACAGTATAAAAATGGATATTTGCATTATTACATTAACATGTGTAATTAAACTATTAGTGTTCTTTAAAATAAATAAAGGTAATGAAAATGTAAAAATAAGTGAAATAAGCACACACAATTAAATATACAATAACTATCAGTACAAATAAATAACTTGTATGGTACCAATATATTGTAAATGCCTAATAAATATGCATATATGTGGGTCACTGAGTTGTTTGTTTCTGTACCTTGGTCACTCCTGAGATGATGATGGTGCTCTTTTTGACAGGAGATTTGAGCTTCTGTTTTGCCGACTCATGCAGCTGTCTGATGGCAGCCTCGGCAACAGGGTCGGTCCCGTTTAACATCAATAACTCTGTACAGGAAAGAAAGAAAAAGAGTGTTCAAACGCTGAACATAATCGATTACTAATGTGGCATTTTGAGTTTATTCTTGCTCCAGGACTGCTGATGAGCACTTGCGGTGTAGAAAGTGGAAATAAAGGAAATGCATTTAGCCATTTATGTAAACAAGATTTACTGGAAACCCCACCTGTATCTGATGATGACAGGGCTTTGCTAACTTTGGCTCCAAGCAATGATGTCTGCTCCGACACCCTTCTCTCCGCCAGCTTGTTTTTAGAAGGCGATTTGGATTCTGTAAGGGGGATTTTTAAAACATGAAAATCGTTTAATAGATTTAGATTTTGTGGTTTAGGAGATTGACAAGACAACTGTAGCATCTTCAAATTAAAGTTTGCTTTAATACCCATATAATACTAAGATTGCCCTCCTCAAAATCAACAACTGAATCAAAGGCATATGGAAGGTACCAGGTGCTAAAGCTCGTCCTGGTTTGCTCCTCACAGCAGTGACAGTGGTAACAACGGTGCCACAGGGCATCACAGTGCGGTCCATCTCCACTCTCTTAGTAGGGGCCGGCGTGGGCGTCTGCCAGCTACGCACCTCGCTGGGCTCCAGGTAGGTGAACTACACAGAAATTCATTCAGGTTGGTAAACAAATATTCTAATAGCATATTTAATTTGCCAATGGAAACTGAACTATATTATAGTTTAGGCTTATATATATATATATATAGGTCTTTTTGTACATTAAGCTAGGATAGGGCATTATAAGAAAACAATTACAATTTAGCATTAATTTAAGTCGTTGTACATGTGAACTAGCTTATGGATATTATGAAATGTAAATGCCTTCCTAAATTAATTTCTAAATTAAAATACAAAAAGTGACAAATATCTGAGAATTAATTCTAAAATGTGATTAACATCAAGTTTCACTGTATCATGATGAGATATTTTACCTCAGTAGTTAGTGATCCAGTCACTTGATCTTTGGCCATGAGTGAAAAGGTCTGTTGACCTTTGGGGTGTTTCTTCACTAGATCAAAAGGCACAGATACCTGCCCTAACAAAGAGGCTGGGAGGAAAAGAGAGAGATGTCTGATCAGATCAAGGTAATGCATATAATTTGATCAATGTGTTTGTCAAGGAAGGAAAAAGTGGCATCAAGCACACAGACAAACACATTTCACACAAGCTGTTAAGAAATCAGGGTGAAAGGCTTGTGAAATGAGGTAATATAGGCTGTCACGTGTCTGTTACAAGAATTCAAATCAAGATATTACCACAGTATCCTTCTATTCGCTAAAATAATCTACCACTTATACAGCATTTTTGAGGCTATTTCATGATTTAGAGAAACAGATGACTGAAAGTAGATTAAAATTCACAGATGACCTTCAAACTTCTGCAGACCCAGATTAATGGATATCACTATTCTGCTTTTATGCCGTTAAGCTGGTTTATTTTTGGTTTATTTACTTACTCTCCCGAGGTTTGCCGTTATCCACAACCTGAATATTCAGCTCTTTTGACCGTCCGCTAAGCTCACTGCAAAAACAGACAAAGGCAAGAGATAAAATAAATCATGTGGTACTCCCATGTAAAAAGATTGGAGGATGACCCAAAACTGCCAAACTACAAACATTTTATAGTCTAAATCTTAGGAAATGCTGGCTGACTTTATATTTTGTGATTTCTTGAGTTGACAATCTTGACCATGGTTTTGAAGTAAACCTAATAAAATGATTTTTTTTTAAAACACAAAGTGTTAACATACAAAAAAAAGAGAAAAATCTATGCTATAAGCATTACTAAACAGATGCACAAATAACTGTGATTGTTTTCAAACAGGTTTCCCAGCTAAACAGGTAGTGCTGTCCCAACATGTGCCTGATTCACGTTTTCCCCGTCACGTCGCCCCCGTCGCCCCCGTCTCTCCCAGTAGTTTCCTGTCCTACCTCTACTGTACGTTTCTATAAAAGTGTCAAAAAGGTTAAAAATAAAAACATTCACTAAATGGGTATAAATTAAGTTTCCAGGGGCAGCTGAGGAGGGAGCAGATGGAGGTGGACCTGAACTCACAATATGAAAGGCTGGTCCCAGGCTGGGGTGGATGTGTTAGTCAAGACTGAACTGGTGACCTTCTGAGGAGGATCATCCAATTGGAGGATACACTGGGGATTCATGCCGCCTGAAACCAGAATAGAAACAGCTCTTTACCAAGCACAAGCAATACCCTTCCAAAAGACCAATTTGCTAATGTACATTCAAATACCACCAGACATTTGTGCCAAAAAACAAAGAGAAGAGATCTGTTTTCAAGCTAAATAATGGACTAATGCAGAAAATGCTCTTTGCCAAAATGAATTATGCATAAAATGGATGAGATGCCATTTGTCTCTGTTAAGTGCTTGCTGGGCTGTAATAGTGACTTGGCTGGAGAGCAGCAGGACTATTAGACCACTTCCAGAAATGATTTCCGAACAGAAGGGACATCCTGATTGAGGGAAACACGGGCAGTTAACTGAATAAGTTGCAGGGGCGGTGCTTTTTCGGAAGTGTAGCCTGCACTTTGTGCCCACAACAAAATATCATCCAAATAATTGGCTTGATTTCTTCGATCCAAGCAATATAAAAACATTAGCTGAGGTCTGTGGTGTGTACAAACTCCATCTAATGAACAACAAGACACATGGGTTCTCAGGGATGAGAATCTGTGTCATGTGACCATATATTAAGAAACAGGCCACCACAAACAACTGCCAGTGATTGGAAGACGCACGTAAGAAAAAAAGTGATATTAAAATGCTAAAAACCTTTATTTTCATATGCTGAAATGCAGGTTCATTCATTTTTTTAATCAATACTTGTTGCTTGCATACTGTATAAATATGTCTAAATGATTTAGCTAAATATTAAAGAGAACTTGAAGGACATGCATTCAGCCGAAATATGAGTGTGTTTCAGTGACCTGCAGCACCATCCTCCTGTTTGCATGTGACCCGGATGTTCTTCACTAATAGTTTCCACTCATGAGCCCGCGGGGGCTTTGGGGGTGAGGTCACCTGCAAGGTCTTGTTCCTTACTTCCTGTTAAAGAGGACAGAGGAAATAAAACATTATCACTCATAACATCAACAGCAACATCCTTTTCTGTGTTTTTCTCTCCATTCTGAGCAAATTCCAAAGTTATGTAATGCTCTGAATATTATGAAATGTATCAGATCATATAATCAAGGCCTTAGGACAAAAAAAATAGGGTTTTAAAATATTTATTAGCCTATTTGGTTGAAATTAAGTTGATATAAGTGTTTTAGGGAGGATTGACCAAATTTTTCCACAATTTTCAATACTATAGTGAGAACAAGCTGGGCATAGCAAATTAAGTATAGTAAAAGACACTAATGTTGAATTCAAGTCATTAATAATAATGATAAGTGTCAATAAACAACAAAGTAAGGCTTTTTACAATTGTCAACTTGCCGCATACAGAATTCAGCTACTGTGTGGTCTCAGGTGTGTGTATCATCAATTTTAGAAAAATGGTGCTTTAAAAGTCAACTGAAATAAACGGCTGAGAGTTCTGTTGACCTAATATCAGCAATAAATTAAACAACAAATGCTGCTGCTTTAAATCAGCAAGGCAGAAACACACAGTGGCCTACAACAGAATAACATAACACTGCCTACTTCAAATGCACAATAAACAAAGGAGTCCAGAGCATTCACATATTCACAACAGCTCATTGAGCCACAGGGCCCACCGTACACGGAGGAATGGGCCGTTATGTCCAAGCACGACTGCTTTACATTCCTGAAGACTGAACTTGGGGGAAAGGTGGAGACACCAAATTCCAGTCCAATGCTCAATGCCCATGTACATTTCTAAATCACATAAAATTATAATGTCTAAAGAGGATGGATGAACTAGAAAATGCTAATCAGTAACTAATAATATACAGTACGATTTATATACACACAGGAAAAGCTTCAATCTGAACCTGAAAAGATATTTGCTTACAGAACCCTGCCACGAGGTGGACCCCATGCAGTCACAATAAAAGTGTTATTCCACAACCTTGTATGTGGCTGTGGGCACGAGAGTGCACTGACCTCTAGAACAAAAACAAAAGCCCAAATATACTGTTGTTCAGCCTACGAAGCCATTCTAACAACCACTGAGAGCTTTCCAGTAATCGCCCTTGACCAGCAGGAGAAACAGCTAGAAAATATGCAGTAACCACCTGGATTCCTCCAGAAAGAGGCTTAAATGACAAACAGAAAATAAACGCAATTGCTCCTGAAAAGGTCAGTATTCCGTATGTACACTTGGCACATGCCCAGTATTCTATTTACAATCTAGCACTTGATCTGATTTGTTTGAACAAAAACAGCCCACTACGACAGAATACCATAGAACCGGGGTGGATTCTGAAGGCATATGAGGAAACGAAAGATTTAACAACAGGTTAAATGCATTTAGCCACTCAATTCACATATGGCTAAAACTGGATCAGCACGACAATGAAGAGTCGAGCAATTCATTGGTTTAAAAATAGCTGTAACGCAATTGAGCAAAGCCTGTGTGAGCTTTTAAAAACAATTGCAGTGTCAACAACTGCAGCTCTCCACACTGAAATGCTGCTCTTAAGTAATTTCTACTGCCATTTGAAGCGCAATATTAAATAAACTCCCTGTCCAAGAGGTACAAGCTTTTCCATGAATAATTCTAGGCAGGATGTACCAGTGAAATGGCATGTTTGATAGCAGTTGTGCTGCTTAATATTTTTTGTAGAAACCATTATACACTTTTTCAGGATTATTTAATTTAAAACTCAAAAAAAGGAAAAAAAAAAATAGTCGAGCAATTCATTGGTTTAAAAATAGCTGTAACGCAATTGAGCAAAGCCTGTGTGAGCTTTTAAAAACAATTGCAGTGTCAACAACTGCAGCTCTCCACACTGAAATGCTGCTCTTAAGTAATTTCTACTGCCATTTGAAGCGCAATATTAAATAAACTCCCTGTCCAAGAGGTACAAGCTTTTCCATGAATAATTCTAGGCAGGATGTACCAGTGAAATGGCATGTTTCTGAGGCAGAGACATATTAACGGTGATTAAAATAAAGGCAGGACATCGAGCCAGTGATCGCGACCGAGGCACTTAATCTGATTCCTGTGGTGAATAAAACTGCAGAGTGAGTCACACCCTATTAATCAAAAACAATCGGGACACTACATGAAGCGTTACATCTCTCATAGGGCAAATGTGTTTATTCCTGATCCTTACCGATTTTATGTGACTGTAAACATTTCAGCAGTGCTATTCTTAACTAAAACTATTAAAAATCATTTTCAGCAATTGAAATAAAACAGAAACAAAATAAAATATAATATTAGAAGACAAACAAAATTAAATTAGAAATGTTACCTTGGCAGCTAACTGAAATAAATAGGGTTACATACTAAAATTACTGAAACTGAAAAGAAAAAAAAAGTAATTAAATGACTAATAAACTAATGACTAATAAACTAATAAAAATGACAATTACAAAAACTCAAACTAAAATTAAACTGGAGACATAAAATTTTTTAATTAATTAATAAATAAATACTTTAATATTATATAAATAATTTTAAAATAACTAATACCGAGGAGTTCCAAAATTATGAGACCAATAATAATAATAATAAATATTTACTGTGTACTACTTTAATTCTACATATTTCTTACATCCAAGAATAATTTGAAAATGGAACAAAATCTGACCTTTTGACTTCACATGGTCATTAATGTACTTATATTTGATTAGAGACTTAGCATTAGTGCAGAATCTGAAATATTTCTTATAATTTTACATCACAGGTTTCAAAATCATAAAACTGTTTATTCAGAAAATTTTAAAACCCTGCTTTAGATCGATTTCATTTCCTCAAGACTGAATGCACAGTCCAAATGAGCACTGTGCTGATTTATCCCAATGTGACTAAAATGACTATATACTTTGATGGCACAACATGTGACAGCCTTTCCTAGAATCAAAGGAGATGCTTGTCTACTCCAAGAGAATGTAAAAACAAAAAACTGGATTATCCGCCTCACCATTGCCAATATTCCCGGAGGCATTTAAAGAATGACTGTCTTGTTTGACAATTTGTCATGCTGAAGCACTTGTGTTTACCCAACCATCCTCAAGTGACACTAAGAGCAGAATAAACACTCATGTTTACCTGCAGACGAAGTGGAGATATCTTCGCACTGTATCTCAGGGGGGTTTCTGAAGACGGTGAGCTTGGTACAGCACTGAGAGAAAACTGCAGCTTGTTTCCAACCACCTGACACAGGGCATTCTGCAAAAAGAATACAACTATGACCAAGACTAGTTGGTCACTTTAAATATCCTCAAGCTTCAACAGTCATACTATTGCTAATAATTTTTTTGAATCGTCAAACAGGGTGCATGTCAAAATGAGAAATCTCATGTCACACTCATAACCCTATTTTGATTCAAAACATTTAAACTTATATATACAATTCACGTAGGCAAGCAGGGAGACATAATAAAGAGGTTTGGCAACAAATCAATTCCTCATATAGGTTAGGGTGTATAAACGTTCAAAGCTTGACCTTACCTTTTGACCGGGTGTTTTCGTAAAGCTTGAAATCTGGTCCAAAGCCAGTTCTGATGACTGAACACCATCTTCTTCAAATGTCAGCTGAATCCCACTCTAATAAGAGGAACACATTACCAAAGGAACACAATAAAGATCCCAACATTCAACTTTGAGATGAATAATACATAGAGATATAACTGAATTCAAAACAACAACAACAAACCCACCTGTGATCTCCTAGCTTCTTCATTGAGGCTCCTGAACCAGGCTCGTCTCCACTGACTCGTCCAGCTTTTCAGAGACAGTACCCAGCATAAAATCCCATCGGCTTCCTCAGAATCCACATGACTGAGAGGTGTTTTCCCAACGCTCTAATAAGAGGAACACATTACCAAAGGAACACAATAAAGATCCCAACATTCAACTTTTTAGGAGCTCATATGTGCTATTTTAGAGATGAATAATACATAGAGATATAACTGAATTCAAAACAACAACAACAACAAACCCACCTGTGATCTCCTAGCTTCTTCATTGAGGCTCCTGAACCAGGCTCGTCTCCACTGACTCTTCCAGCTTTTCAGAGACAGTACCCAGCATAAAATCCCATCGGCTTCCTCAGAATCCACATGACTGAGAGGTGTTTTCCCAACAGGAGGTTCGTTGGAAAAATACAGCACCAAGTATATAATCAAAGTGACAACAGAGGCCAGAAAGAGAGTGACCACGCAGAGCCACTGCCAGTCACTCACCCAGGAGAAAACACCCTCCATAGACGACATGATCACCGAGCCATTCACTTTAAACCCTTAACATGTTTACCATCAGACCTACTCCTCTACCTTCCGCATCCCAACACAATAAAGACAGTTTACTTCCTAGTATTGACTAATAACACTCCTTCACAAACAGCAAAAATTTAAGTTTGGGTGGGTGGAATCACGCGAACGCTGGACCGAGGCTCGTGAATCTCACTTCAGCACGACAGCGACAGACAGATGTGTTTTAACACAAAATACAATTATTAAATCAGATGTTAAAATTATTAGAGCATCTGAACAACTACTTACAGACTAAGTAACATTTTTAACACACGCCAGTGCACAGTAAACCACCCGTGAATGAATCTGCGAGATTTTAACCGGATAAATGGGCTCTTATCGGACACAGACAGCTTAAATGTTTTTAAAATATTGGCGATTTAAAAAACATACATACTTAATATTATAAAATAATGATCTATGTTAGACAATTAGTGGCTATTTAAAGACAACTCTAAATGATAAAAGAATTAGAACCGGAGCATCCGAGGTGAAAAAAGTTCCTGAAATCCCCCGGCGTTGTTGAGCCACGTTACCATCACATTAGCCGAGCATTATCCCACAGAACAGAAAAAGAGTTTAAAAAGTGACATTAAGTGCAGTTCTCATCTCCTCTAACGTGTTTGTTCATCCTCCTGGGCGTGTATGATGAGGAGAGTGGATGTGAGTGTCACACACACCGCTGATTTCTAGGATTATTAGCTTTGCATTGAGGTTCAGGAGTCCCAAAACACCGTCACCAGACAATACAAAATAAGAGTCCCTACTGCAGTTTCTAAAATAACACAAATTGACGAATTTATATCAAATAAATTAATACAAGTAAATATTAAATAGAAATATGTAGAAATCAATCAATCGAAATTGTATTTGCTCTATATTATTATTACGGGGAATTTATGCTTGCAGAAAAAAGACAAAGGCCTTGCGATATCTCTTTTCATAAACGATCATTTGAACAATGGGCGTTTCTTTGTTTATACGGCATTTTTTGCAGCGTTTGAATATGGAAATATGCGACTTGTGTGTGCGTGTGTGGATTACTGGCTAAACAATGGGATTGTTTACAAACGTTTTTCTCAAATTAGCGTATTTACAGAAGTTCACCCTAATTCACCATTTTTTAGAATGCAAATTAAAAATAATTCACTATTTACGCTTTTATTCATTGCTAACATTAAATAAAGTGTAAATGTTATGTTTTGTCGATCAATACTTAATAACAGAGCACCAGCAATCGTTAGACAACTCCTACAAACCGAGTATGACAAATTTCACACAAACTATATTAATAGTGTAGCGTCGAGGTTGACAGAACGTTTGAGGCGGTTGAGCTTTGCAGTAGAACTGCGCGGAGGCAGAAAACAGAAGGGGAAATAGTGCGCATCCTACACTGTTTTTTGCTAACACATTCTCACTTTGTATAACCATTATCACGTTAAAAAGTAGTTAAATCACTAGTTTACATTACACTAAAACACTAAACTTTTTTTCATTACACTAAAAACATTTAGTATCGATCCTAGAGAAATAAAACCTCTGAAATATCAATATTATAATAAGTTTTAGTAATTTTGTTGTTTTTAGTTGTAAGTTTTTTTTTAAATGTCTATACAGTTTTATTTATTGTTATTTCAGTTTTATTTATTTAGTAAATCAGCTATAATAAAAATGTACATGTGTGAATGAGAAATCTGGCCAACTACTGAAATAAAATACTTTTTTTTTTAAAGTGTTTTTAAAGATTTTAGATTTAGCTATAGCTTTAGTTACCTATAATATTAACCCTGGTTAGAATTATGCACAATTAAACCAGTGACATTTTTTGACAGATTATTAATTATTAAGACCCATTTTAATTTAATGTTGACTTTTAGTCAAAATGCCCAGAAATGGAATACTTGAATTATGAAATACTTCACCCCAAAATGAAAATGTTGTCATCATTTACTCAAGTAATTCAAAACCTGTGTTATTTTTTCCTGCATTGTTATTTGTTATCTAAATACACTGCAGTAGCCATGGTTACTATTATGTCCTGTGCAGTCAGCTGTCTCACCCGCACCTGCTGCTGCTGATGGCTGCGAGTATCTCCGCTGACCTGGACAGCACAAAGCTGGTCTATGAGCGAGTAAATGTGGGATCCCTGTACAATCTGCTGCACCAAAGGGTAATGTTTGAAAATTTCAAAAAGATTTATAAATGACTGAGAAGTGGTTTTATTTTAAACTGTGTTTATTGTTTATTTCCACACTCTGCAGCGGGATGAGTTTCCTTTCCTACCGCTGTTTGACCTATTATCAGTGGTGCTACAGGTGTGTGAGGTGTTAATGTACCTGCATGGCCGATCTCTGGTGCTCAGGGCTCTTTCCTCACACACTGTACTTATAGTGCACCCTGGAGTTGCCAAGGTTACAGGCCTTGGGTTCATTGCACCCAGGTACACCATCCTTGCAAAAGGCACATATTAATATATATATATATATATATATATATA